CTTGGGGGCTTCTTGGCCCGTCTTGAGGCCCTCTTGGGCTCGGAAAAGCTCCGTGAACCGCTCGTCCCGGCCGTGCTGCGCTCGTCCCGGACCCCCCCCCCCTCCAAAAGCCCTCTTGGGCCGTTTTGGGGACCTCTTGGGCCGTCTTGGGGCCGTCTTGGGCCGTCTGGAGGCCGTCTTGGGGGCCTCTTGGGCCATCTTGGGGCTATCTTTGGGGCCTCTTCGCCCGTCTTGGAGCGTCGGGAAGCCGGAAAGGCGGAAAAGCAAAAAACATAGAAAAACACTATGGAAAATCAACAATTTTAGACTCTTGGGGCCCTCTTGGGAGGCTTGTTTGGGACCTCGGGGGCCGTCTTGGAGACCTCTTGGCCCGTCTTGGGGCCATCTTGGGCGTCTTGGAGCGGTCGTTTGGCGTCTCGGGCCTTCGTGGGCCGTCTTGGAGGCCTCTTGGGGGCTTCTTGGCCCGTCTTGAGGCCCTCTTGGGCCGGAAAAGCCCCGTGAACCGCTCGTCCCGGCCGTGCTGCGCTCGTCCCGGCCCCCCCCCCCCTCCAAATCGGCCCTCTTGGGCCGTCTTGGGGACCTCTTGGGCCGTCTTGGGCCGTCTGGAGGCCGTCTTGGGGGCCTCTTGGGCCATCTTGGGGCTATCTTTGGGGCCTCTTCGCCCGTCTTGGAGCGTCGGGAAGCCGGAAAGGCGGAAAAGCAAGAAACATCGAAAAACACTATGGAAAATCAACAATTTTAGACTCTTGGGGCCCTCTTGGGAGGCTTGTTTGGGACCTCGGGGGCCGTCTTGGAGACCTCTTGGCCCGTCTTGGGGCCATCTTGGGCGTCTTGGAGCGGTCGTTTGTCTCGGGGCCTGCGTGGGCCGTCTTGGAGGCCTCTTGGGGGCTTCTTGGCCCGTCTTGAGGCCCTCTTGGGCTCGGAAAAGCCCCGTGAACCGCTCGTCCCGGCCGTGCTGCGCTCGTCCCGGACCCCCCCCCCCCCTTCGGCCCTCTTGGGCCGTCTTGGGGACCTCTTGGGCCGTCTTGGGCCGTCTGGAGGCCGTCTTGGGGGCCTCTTGGGCCATCTTGGGGCTATCTTTGGGGCCTCTTTGCCCGTCTTGGAGCGTCGGGAAGCCGGAAAGGCGGAAAAGCAAGAAACATCGAAAAACACTATGGAAAATCAACAATTTTAGACTCTTGGGGCCCTCTTGGGAGGCTTGTTTGGGACCTCGGGGGCCGTCTTGGAGACCTCTTGGCCCGTCTTGGGGCCATCTTGGGCGTCTTGGAGCGGTCGTTTGGCGTCTCGGGGCCTTCGTGGGCCGTCTTGGAGGCCTCTTGGGGGCTTCTTGGCCCGTCTTGAGGCCCTCTTGGGCTCGGAAAAGCCCCGTGAACCGCTCGTCCCGGCCGTGCTGCGCTCGTCCCGGCCCCCCCCCCCCCTCCAAATCGGCCCTCTTGGGCCGTCTTGGGGACCTCTTGGGCCGTCTTGGGGCCGTCTTGGGCCGTCTGGAGGCCGTCTTGGGGGCCTCTTGGGCCATCTTGGGGCTATCTTTGGGGCCTCTTTGCCCGTCTTGGAGCGTCGGGAAGCCGGAAAGGCGGAAAAGCAAACAACATCGAAAAACACATGGAAAATCAACAATTTTATACTCTTGGGGCCCTCTTGGGAGGCTTGTTTGGGACCTCGGGGGCCGTCTTGGAGACCTCTTGGCCCGTCTTGGGGCCATCTTGGGCGTCTTGGAGCGGTCGTTTGGCGTCTCGGGGCCTTCGTGGGCCGTCTTGGAGGCCTCTTGGGGGCTTCTTGGCCAGTCTTGAGGCCCTCTTGGGCACGGAAAAGCCCCGTGAACCGCTCGTCCCGGCCGTGCTGCGCTCGTCCCGGACCCCCCCCGCTCGTCCCGGACCCCCCCCCCCCCCTCCAAATCGACCGGACCGGGCTCCCGGGGGAGGGGTTTGGGGAGGGGGAAGCATCTCACACGCCGATGATCCCCAAGGGGTCGGCGGATTGTCCGTTTTCGGTTCTCGAGAGGGCGTCGCGGCCGTTCTTTTCCAGGCTCGCGCCCGCCAGGTTTGGGCCTCAGGTCGTTTTCACTAAACCACGTTTTAATAAAGGGAGGTCTGTCCATCCCCGAACCCCCCCCCCGGACCCCCGACGTCATGATTTTTTCATGACGCGACCCCCAGAGGTCCGGACCCTTTCCCCATGACTGGCTTTGCATCCTGAGTCGTTTTTTGACGCTCCCGAGGCCCGGCGAGGGCCCCCGGAGGCCGAAAAGTAGGAAAATCCCCCCGTCGTGATTTTTTCATTACTCGGGGGGGTCTGGGTTTGCTATCCCCCCCCTTTCGCCCGACCCGACAGGGGGCTCCCCCGGCGAAGGCGGCGGCATCGCCAAGGGCGCCCTCGAGGGCGCGAAGTTATTCGCGCTTCGCGGTTCGGCTCCGATTCCTCATCCTCCTCTTCTCCCCTGAGTGGCGGCGCGAGAGCGCGAAGTTATTCGCACTTCGCGCTTCGCGCAGCGCGAAGCGCGAAGCTGGGAGCCCTTGCATCGCCGGCCCGGGGGCAGGGCGGGGAGGGCCGGGGCGGCCACGGGCGGCGGGCCGGCAGGCCTGCCTCTGGCGCGCGGCCGCGGCGCTGGAGGAGGAGGAGGAGGAGGAGGAGGAGGAGGGAGGAGGAGGAGGAGGGAGGAGGAGGAGGAGGAGGAGGAGGAGGGAGGAGGGGAGGAGGAGGAGGAGGAGGAGGGAGGAGGAGGAGGAGGGAGGAGGAGGAGGAGGAGGAGGGAGGAGGAGGAGGAGGAGGAGGAGGAGGAGGAGGAGGAGGGAAGAAGTGCTGGAGTTAAGTCGGGGCTGTCTCTCCACAGGAGGAATCATGAGAAGCAGTCAGAATATAGTCCGGGGACGATGTTCTTTACTGTTTGTTGTTATGTCTGAGTTTTTGTTTTGAGTATGTGTGACGTTTCACCCAAAATCCGCCTGTAGATAGACATGCCCGAATTTATTTTGGAGGCGGAAGCAAGGATGGAAATTCCCGGTTAGCTCTTAGAGAGTTACGAGGGTTCCACATTAGAAGCCGGCTTCTGGCAGGAATCCCAGTTAAGGGTTGCTTGAAGTCGCAGCGTGTTCTGGCAAGCCTTTGCTGTCTGTTTCCCGATACGTGTGTCTTGAAGTTTTCATAAGCTTCTTCCAAGAACTTTCAGAGCTCCTTCGAAGGACTTTCTGTAAGCTTCTGTCGCTGCGCTTCCTTGGTTGTGGACATCGCAAGCGCATGTTTGCCCACTGTGCACCAACTTGTGCCCACGGGCAGCTAGGAAAACAGAGCTGCATGAAGCGAATTACCCCGCTTGGAGGCTCTCGACGATGCTGTGCACTAGTGGGTGTGATGTATCGGGCCGCCCCTTGCCCACCACCTCGCCCGCATGCTCGCGTAGAACGGAGCATTGTATCTCAACCCGGCTGATTCCTTTGATCGGCGCTGGGCACCCTTGCCTCACACCACTTCCCCAGTGCGCGGAGCGCATTGGGGCCTCTTGGATGCCTTCTGGGGCTCGCAGGCGCTTGTGGTGTCTTTGGGTCAATATTCGGGGGAAGGCTCCCAAGGCCCTTCGCTTTCGCCCTCTTGGGGCCCTTTTTGAAGCCTCCTTGTCCGTCTTGGGACGCTTTGTTGCCTATTGGGGCAATATTTGGGGCTTCGTGAGCCGGCTTGGATTGTTGTGCGATAGTCGTACTCGTAATGAGTTGCCCAGACTTCGAACCTCGAGGACCTCGGTTAGAATGTTTGGGATGTCGTTCGGTCTTGTGAGACCTCTTGGAGGCTCCCTGTCGCTACGGCTGGATCCGCCTCGAAACTCTGGTCGGAACGCGCACACACACACACACACCAGCAGTGGTTCTGGGGTCGGCTATTGACCCCCGAGCGCAGACGCTCGCCTCTTGGAAATCACGACCGTTGGTGGTGGTTGTTATTTTCGGTTCCTCGGGGCCTCGAGTGGGCTGTGCAGGGCGGTCAGAAAGCGGCCCCAGATGGAGCTTCTCTTTCTGGGAAGGTGTCGCTCTGCGACCGCTTGCGAGCCATACCCCTGCGGGTCCAATCGACGCTGGGGTATCGGACATCCCCGCTGGGCTTCGCCTAGCTACAGACATCTTTCCGATTTGAACCCCAGCCGGTATTTCAGCAATCTAACCTGAAGCGGTAGGCCGCATGTAGCTGTCTCGTCGAGACCCTCGGGAGGCCCCGGCCCATTCTGTGAAATGGGCGCCACGCTTGGGGCTCGGATTGCTTGCCAGAAGGGTTCGTTGCGCATGGTCGGTTTCGTGCGTACGGCTCTTCTCGAGCATCCCAAGAATTGAACGATCAAAAGGCTCCTGCGCCGTTCCCCTTCGTGCGGAGGAAACCTTCTTGAATGCGGCTTTGTTGCAGCTCTCGAACAGAAGGTGCTGTGCGAGTTTCAGGCCTCCGAGACGGAGTCGCGCCCGTCGGGACGGCCAAAGGCGTTCCGAGTGGAGAGCAATGTCGGCGATTCAAAGATAGGGGCCCTGAGGGATTGGGCCCTCAGGTCTAGGCCCTAGATCTCCCAGATGGGGCCAGAGCAGATGGGGTAGGAGGATCGCGCCAAATCGCCGATGCTGATGCGGCTAGATGTGGAGTCGGTTTTCTCTACGCCGGCGTCGCCCATGCATCGCCGACGTCGCCGATGCATCGCGGAGACACTGCCGATACATCGCCGATGCATCGGCGATGCGGCGCAGTCCTCCGACCCCACCTACTCCGACCCAATCTCTTGGCATCGCTCGGACGTCTGCAGTTTTCCTTCGGCGAGGACCATCGAGGAGCATCCTTGATCATTTGGGACGTCCGAGCGATGCCCAGATCTGGGTGGCCTCCAGAAAGGTAGGCAGGGATCCCAGCGGCGGCACTGGGTGGAATTTGGGGAGCAGCAGGATCAGGGGCTGGAGCCGTGGCGGCAGGAGCTGGAGGACGGTGCAGAGCTGGAGGACGATGCGGAGGAGGAGGACGCGGGGGGGCTGCGGCAGCTCCGCGCCCCGAGGAACTCGCAAACCTGTTCCGGGACGAGCGGCCCTGGGACGAGATCAAGGACGATGCGGAGGAGGAGCAGGGCGCTGCCTTCGAGGAGCCTGGGCGGCGGTCTTCCCATCCCCCCCCCTCCTCGACCTCCTCCTGCTGCCGGAGGGGGTTCGCGCGCGCGTTCTCCCCGGATGAGTCGGAGTGCCCTCGGGGCCAGGACGACGAGGACAACTGCCACCGGCACTGCCCCAAGCAGATGGAGACAGCTTCAGATGTTTTTTGATGCTCAGGACGAGGCCTCATTCACGACGGGGTTTTGCATTGTTGGGCACGTTCCCCGATTTGTCTTTCGCCGACGGCATCCGCCAGAGGGGCTCGTTCGCTGCCGCGCAGGCCTGCACGTTCACTTTTGTGTACAATTATGTTCCTGCCTGTGTTTTAATCGGCTGCGTATTGGATAGTTTTCATAGTCGCGCTGAAAACGCAACGTCTCCCCATCATGATGACTTGTATCGACATGGTTCGATGTCGTGCAGCATCTTGCCCATCGTACACTGGCGCGCTGCCCTTGCCGAATGTCATTGCAGTCAGCGGTCCCTCCACTCGATTCTCCTTCGCGGCCCTCTCTCTATATCTCTCTCTCTCTCTATTTGCCGGGTTTGGTTTGGTTTCGTTCTCGTGCATGTGGCCTATATCACGCATTTGGTAGCCGACCCCGTTCACTGGCCGCTGGTGTCAAGTCGGGCGACAAAAAGTGTGAGTGCGTGTGTGCATGTGTGTGAGTGAGTGCGTGTGAGTGTGTGTGTGTGAGTGTGTGTGTGACTGTGTGTGAGTGTGTGAGTGCGTGATTGAGTGATTGTGTGAGTGCGTGCATGTGTGAGTGTTTGTGGTGTGGTGTGGTGCCTTTCGTATGTAGATGTATGTGTATGTATGTATATATATATATATATATCGTTTGTGTTTGCTGGTCTTCCGGTCCGTAGCCGTTTTGGCCCCAGCTGCCTTCTCGAGCTCCAGCATGGTGCCTTCTTCGCGGGGGCCCATCTTTCGGTGGCATCCGCCGAGCAGCGGACGGTGGAGCCTGGCAGTCGGTGCGGGGTGGGAAGTGCCCCGCGTGCCTGGTGGCCGTGAGGCCGCGCGGACGCTGCACGCATCCGCATCCTCATTTTCCTCCCCTCGCTCTCGCCCTCGCTCTCTCCATCTCCCTCTATCACTCTCGCTCTCTCTCTCTCTCTCTTTCTTTTTCTCTCTCGCGGCACTGTGCGTGGTCAATTCGTCGCCGAAGTTTGTGGCATGAAGGCGGCGTCGCCCTCATCGAGGTGCGGCTGTACGTCTCTCTCGTGCCGCTGCCCCACTTCGTCGGGATGCTCGTGCTGGTCGTCCTCAGTTCGTCTGGTCGCCCATGTCGAGTTACAGACGCGTGAGTTTTCTGCCCTGCCCCCCTGGTCTCAGACCCGTGTGGAAATTGCCCCCCAGGGGTGTGTCGCGGGGGATGATCTGTAGACGTCGTGCCTGTCCGAGGAAGGACCTTGGTATTCATACTCATGCTTTCTGTATACATCATGGCGTTATCAGAGTCGCTGCGTTTCGGGCGACGCCGCGTTGGTCTCATGAGCGTGTTTTCGTGCCAAGCGGCACGATGCACCACCTGGAGGAATACTCGGAGAATCTCTGCGCGTGCGAACGCCAGTTTGCCTCGGTTGCTTTCGCGATGCGCATGCGATGCAGTGCATCAAATCGGGCGAAGAGAACTATGCACATGCACCGATCCTTGCAAGGCCCATCCTTGACCCAGGATCGGTGCATATGCCTTCCTGAGCAAGGTAGGAGGGCGTATGCACCGATCCTGGGCTCAGGATGGGCCTGGCCAGAATCGGTGTATGTGCATAGTTCTCTTTCCTCTATCAAAGACTTTGAAGCTGGGTGATCGGCTGCCGCGGGTGGCCTTATCCTGGCCCGCGGTGGCCACCGGACCAACCCGAGCGATTCCTTCAGATGTGCCGGCCCACTGTTTGTCGGGCCGGTTTTTTTAAACCTTTGGGAGTTGCGTAATGGAGGGGTCATAAATGGGGGGGTGGCGAGGGTGGTCCGAAAAGGTACCCAAACGGTACCTAAACGAGCCCCCTGGGGGTCCGGAGGGGCTCGAAAGGGGCACGAAAGGGGACCGTTTCTGACCCCCCCATTTATGGCCCCCCCATGAAGCCACGCCCAAAACCTTGTCTTGCGCTGTCGCGCAAAAGGGAGCTCGCGCCTCGGCGCGCGAAATCCGGGAAAAAAGGCAAGGGTGGAGTGAGTGGCGGGGCAACGTTAGGAGTGGAAGGCGCGAGGGGGCTCGCGATCGAACGGCCGCCCAGTTTCCCTGGCCCCGCCCTGGGCCTCCTCATCCATGGCCAGTGTCGCTCCTAGCTGCCTTGCAGGGTACGGTGTTCTGGTGTGGGGCCCTGGAAGGGGTCCCCGAGGGCGAAGTGCAGGTGCGACGCGTTGCTCTGGGGTGTCCCAGTCCCTCAGGTCGACAGCCTCCTGGATGCACGGCCCATCCGACCACGGCCCGGCGGATCATCGCGCCCCCCATTTTCGCCTGTCGGACTCTTAAGCAAACAGTAATATTCATAGCGTTGGCGTTCCCTCCGGTATTCCTTGACGCTGGTTGCAAGCGAACGCCCGTCGTTGACGCCGCTCCGCTATTCTGCAGAACGCACTTTTTCCCTACCTAGGCTCTGCCTAGAAGGGTTCTTACCCTGTGTGCTTAAAGGGCCGGGCAGTGCTAATCGCCCCGGGCGGTTCCCCCGGCATCCGCCCCGCGGTTCCCCCAGTTACGTTCCTTTAGTTTAGCGTTGCTTATCTCATCTTAGCTTAGCTGATTTCATCATAGCTTAGCTTAACTTTATCTTAGCTCGGGTTTACCTTAGCTTAGCTTACCTTCATCTTAGCTTCGCTGAGCTTTAGCATAGCAGACCACAGCATAGCATAGCATAGCGTATCATAGCATAGCATAGCGCAACACATCATAGCATAGCATAGCCCAGCATATCATAGCATAGCGCAGCATAGCATAGCATAGCATAGCATAACATAGCATAACATGTCATATCAGAGCATAGCATAGCGCAGCTTAGCATAGCATAGCATACCATAGCATCGCTTAGCATAACACATATCAGCATGACATAGCAGAGCTTAGCAAGTTATACCATTGCATAGCATAGCATAGCATAGCATAGCATAGCATAGCATAGCGCAGCATTTCATAGCATAGCATAGCATAGCGCAGCATAGCATGGCATAGCATAGCATAGCATAGCAACTAATGTTGCTTTCCTAGGGGCTCCGACTTCTAGGTAGGGTCGCACTGGGGTAATTCTATGGATCTGGGCGCCTAAGACAACCGTGCAAACATGTACAAATTGTTCCGCCAGGGCTCCCGCCAGGGCTTTTGATCGACCTCCCTCCGGAGGCGGCCCCCGCAGGGCAGTCAAGTGTGCGCGCTCAACGCCCCCCAATGAATGGCGCCCCCCTCCGTCCTGCGCCACACGCAACGGACTCGATTTGGAACCTCCGATGGAACGAGGTTCTCCAGCTTCGCCACGGTGGAGTCGCGCCGCGTGCCCATCCCACTGGCTGCGCGATCAGCTGGCCCCGCGGCGTTTCGGCTCGTCGATTCTGCCGAGAACCGTGTGGATAAGCGCAGGTCGTCCACGTCCCATCCTCTTCCTCCCCTTCGCATCCCTTGCCCCCCTTTTCCCCCACATTCTGCCCTAACCGTTGATCGCCATCTTCACGGTTCCGCTCCCCCTAGGCGTCTCTTTTTGTCTTTCGCCCTTTGACATAGAGAGCACGACGCACCCGACCAATGTCCACGATGTGGCAAGAGGAGTTTGTCCAGAATAGTTTGGCTGGTGACAACGCAGGATTTGGCATTTGTTGCGCGAGCTGGATGAGAAGCGCGCGCGTTGTGCGATACACAGGACGACGAAAAAGTACGTTGACCAAGGGACCAGGTTCGGAGACGAAACCGGGGCGGAAACGAATGACAGGACAAGGACAGAAGCAGGGCCGAACAGCGATCGCGACAGCAGCATTAAGACAGAATGCGACACAAAAATAATGATGAGGAAAGAGTGTGGCGGCCAATTTCCAGTGGCACGCACAAGCAGCGCTGGCCGCCCTGGCGCTCCGGAGGGTCAGCTGTTCATAGCGAGTACAACAAGCGAGCGAGGTCGACCTCGAGCGCGGGAGGATAGACGCCCGCAGGTGCGCCGCCAGGTCTTTGGGTCCCGCGGGCTGACAGCTTCGCAGATCGCACCCCCTCGGGGACGGCGAGTGCTCATGTAGGTCCCCGTGGGGCGCCGGTCCGCTGGGCCCCGCGGGCAGCCCCCCAAACGGTGGCGACATTTCGCAGATCGCAGCTCCCCACGGGCGGCGAGGTGCAATTGGCATCCGCGTGGGATCGGGGGCGGAAAAGAGGGGGGTGATGACTAGGGGGGGGTGGATATCATGGCGGGGGCCATGATATCTCCCCAGATTTCGTGGCGCCTCTTCTTGTTTTATTACGTCCCTGGCACCCCCGCTGGGCCGCGCACATGCCGCCGGTCATGATTTGCACCCCCCCCTCTTGGACACCCCCCTCTTTGCCGCTCCCGATGGGACGTGACTCCGCTGGTGCATGCCAGGCAGAGAGCAGGGGAGAGCAGGAGGAGGGAAGAGAGTAGGAGCTAGGAGGGAGGAGGAGAAGGCCGCGACCGCAATGCTCGATTCACAAGTGAGGGGAGTAGTACTTCTCTTGCGACGTACCCAACCAATCCGCACCAAGTGACGAGAGGAGTTGGTCCAGAGTCATTCGGTCCAGGGCAGGGGAGATGCAAGTCCGCGTGGGGTGTGGTACCGTTGAGTTCCCCAGCAGACAGTTCTGCAGGTCGCCACCCCTCAAGATGGCGAGGTCCAGGGTAAGGCCGCGTGGGGCGTCGCTCGCTGGACGCCCCAGCAGCCCTCGAAAGTGGCGACGGCTTTGCCGACCGCAGCCCACCAGGGACAGCGAGGCCGAATTTAGGCTGACCTGGGGCGTCCGTCCGCTGGACCCCGCAACAGCCCTTGACAGCCCTCGAAAAG